CCCCCCCCCCGCAAAAAAAAAGAAAGAAAAAAAGTATCATATTTACGAGGACAAAAACGTAGCACATGCATCCTCAGCAACAGGTCTCAAGCACCACATACATCTCTGCAGCCCCGGGGTCAGTGGGAAGGACAGACTGGTGCGGCCCAGGAGCAGTGCAGAGGCAACGTCACGGAGAAGCCACGCCCACAGCCAGAGGGAGCAGTGGAACTCTCCTGGCACTGCCACTTGGAGCTGCATGGCTTGCGCAGGAGCCCTCGGCCCGTTTCCTCGCCTATACAACACTGTGACAGGATGGAGGGACGCAGGTGAACTCGGCCAGGAGGCATGTGCAGCATGCTGACAACCGGTGCTGGTGCGCCTGTGGCTTCATGGTGGTCACCATGCTCATCAGGGGCCAGGTTTGCTGACTGGTAACAAGAATTTGTGCTTTCAGAAAATGAGAGAAACGGGCTATGCTCTTTGACAGGCTCCCTAAATTGGATCCCTACCCAAGCAGACCCGCTACCTACCGGCATCGATAGGCGCACACAGATTACGAAGCCAGCGGCCGCCCTGCTGCTCTCACCACCGCCCATGGATCAGCCCCAGGCCCCACCCATGGGACTCTCAAATTTTCCACCCTGTTGACCAGCGCCCCCTCCCCTACCTAAAATGCCCCATATCAACCGAGGGCACCCTCCTCTCAGAACCAACAGCCTTCTCACCCTCGGCCCATCTGCACCCAGAGGGCAATAAACTCATCGCATGTTGCTTAGACTTTGCCTGCCTCAGTGGTCTCAAAGGTGCCTTGGTTTGAACTTACACTCTTATCATGGCTTTATTTGAAATAATTTCCAAAGCAGGCTCTTAAACTCACAGTCCTGCAGCATACTTGATATTTTTATAACAAAGGATTGCTATAACATCCAGCTAATATTTTTGACAATATAAGCATCAGAATGTTAAATTTTATTGTCAAGATTCTGGGTGAAGGAGGGAATGCTTGTTTTTAGAGTGGGGAGAGCTCCTGGTCAGTACCTCCCACAAGCTGCTGAATCATCGGCACTGAGATCCCTCACTTACGAGACGAATGTGCATCTACCTCCCTCAAAGGGCAGGTGTGTTTAAATG